ACCTGATGCTCCTGGCACAGCCACATGGGTGGTGGGAAGAAGCAGAGCATGCTCCCTCCCTGCAGCGCTTTCCCCATATGTGGAATGGGGTGGAAAGACCTGAAGTAGAAAGGAAATCCTCCAAGGCTATAAAAAGAATCAATAATAAGGGAAGAAAAGAGGCATGATGAGGGAGGGAGTGGAGAAGCACAACATAAAGGGGACACAGGACTAGTACATCCACTCTCTTTAAAAAAAGGCAACTAATACTTTTCCTGATGAAGCCAGGCACTTCCTATGTACTGTAAAAAATTATATATGCATATAACGAAACACATTCAATATAATCCCATCAATGAACTAACGTTTGGGGTAATTATTAATAAACTGTCCAGGAAAACCATTGCTATATACACACACAACTTTGAAAATCTAGACATGTTTCCAAAGAAGTAACCGATGAGCATCCTTGCTACTGGATAGAAGGAGCAGGAAATGTTTCAAAATCAATAGGTCATACAGGACAGAAACAATGTTAGTCTTGAAACCATAATTACCTGTTCAATTTGAAGAAGCACCCAGTATTTTTAGTATGCAGTCAGCACAATCAGCAAGTTGTTACCTTCCCAAGAGAAGCCCCTGTATTTAATACATCAACTGGTAATGAAAGCAAGGTGCTTAGACCTCCTTTTAAAGTCAACTTAGTTCCTTTTTTGTCCTACTTTTCCCTGGTCTGAAAAGCACATGGCTAGAAAGGAGGTTAATATCACAACAAATAAAGTTATCTTTCTAAACTATTCTGAAGTACTGCAAAATCAAAGATCTATAAAGATCCTTGATAAGCCACAGGTGGTTTTGTCCCAAAAGTCAAAGATAATGATACATTTTAGGAGAATACTGCATAAAAGAGCACTCCTGTTGCTCATGAACAGCTCAGTACTGTTGCAAGAACACAACAGATGCTCTTCATTTGGCTCCTCTCTTTGCTCTCACATTATTTTTATGTAGTAGAAACGTCTAAATATTTACGAGCATGGGCTAACATTTATAGAGCACAACACATAAGTAAGTTGTTAAACTCAAAATTATGATAGAAAATTTTAAAGGTAGGATATAGAGAATTACTATCTCACTGAATCCCCAAGAAAGGAGGAATTACTGCCTGCTAAATACTTCTATCATGTTCACCAGTGGATTCTAGAGGGAAATAAAAAAAAGGGAAAAAGAGTTGCTTTTACCCTTTATTCTCTACTATTTAAGACAAAGGATCTTTAAAAAACAAGTTATAAAGCATTTAAAATAGGATCAGAAAGGCATAGGAGAAGGTAAAGGGAAGAGGACAGTGGTCTCCTGTTCACCAGTCCACCTTGAAACATGTCACAGTGATCAAGAGCTTTAAACTGAGAGAGGGAAGGTTTAGGTTAGATATTAGGAAAAATTCCTTCCTATGAGGGTGGTCAGGCGCTGGCACAGGTTGCCCAGAGAAGCTGTAGCTGCCCCATCCCTGGGGCAGTGCTCAAGGGCAGGCTGGACGGGGCTTGGAGCAACCTGGTCTAGTGGAAGGTGTCTCTGCCCATGCCAGGGGGTCGGAACTGGATAAGCGTTAAGGTCCCTTCGAACACAAACCAGTCTGTGATTCTATGATCCACAACCTCTCCACTCCCATTCCCTACAGCTCCATTTTCCAGAAGGCATGGTGATCACTTAGCTAGGCAGCAAATTCACAGCCACCTCCTTCACACAGGTCTTTTTACATATGCTGACCAGTCTCAGGTCAAGGTGGGGACCCTGCTAACCTCTTTAATACAACCATTTTTGATTCCTTCTTCTCCCCTTTCCCATACTTACTTTTGTTTGAAATGACACAGGTATAGCTGTTCTCTCCATGTTGATGTGATCTATCACCTCTTCCCCACCAGCTTGCCTCCCAACTCCCACTTTTCTTCCACACTCTGCAGCATTCGTATTGCTTCTTGAAGGCTTCATCCTCCACACTGATTACTCATCCTCCAACTTCTCATCTCTATGTTCACTGGCATCTAATCTTAATTCGGTCTGCAAGTCCTGCTTCAAATTTCTGAACTCATTAACACAGCTGTCAGTTGGTCTTCACCCCCCTTGTAGTCTTGAATTCCCCCTTTTAAACTATCACCTGGTTTTCTTAATCCCCTGCTTAGCATTTCTCTTTCCTGGCCCTTCGACCTGCCTTTTTGCCAGTTGCAGCAAAAAATTCTGATCTTACCTTATCCCTTCCTTTTCTAAATTTAAAAATTTCCTAATTCTCTTTGGGCCTCATACTCATCTGCTTTCACTTTTCCCATCCTATCATGTCCCAGAGCTGGCCTGCCATCAGCACTGGTTTTCCAAGCTCCAAAGCCAAGAGATCGTTCTGTTGGAAACAGTCTAAACCAGTTGACATTCTCCAATTTGTTTCCTCCTCCTCCTGCTTTTCTATGTTCAACTATTTTCCTAGCTTTCTTTTAATCCCCCCCTTTCACAGTTCCAGTCTTATCACCAATTCTTGTCTCCTCTTTCTGGAAACTTCGCCTTCTGCCTCTTCTATTTCTGCAAAAATTGTCATAAATATATGGACAAAATACAGAATGGCATCATCCTTCCCCTAACAAGCAGGGGAGCCTGGCAGCCTACAGAAACTGGAGGCAGTTCAGCATCACTTGAAGTTACACCTTTAAACAGACTCCCGACATCTCCTTCAATGAAAGAGGAGGAACTCCAAATCAGACAGTGGAAAAGCCTTAGCCGTTTATCATGGGTAAGCAGCAAAGAATAATAATCACTAAATACTTCCTATATATGCTTGTAATTCTGCCTTAAAGAATTCCTCTCTCTTCAGTTTTACATCTTCTAAATACCTTAGATTACTCCATCTTCTCTGCTGGGTCTTATCCAAGGTTAACTCTTCAAGTCCTTTTGTCAGTATTATACTATTCTTCTATCACAAATTCTCTCCAGCCTAATATTACTTCACTAAGTAGTACAATTACACATAAATACCACAGAACTTCATGAGATAAACAACAAAGAATCCTAGAATGGCTAGGGTTGGAAGGGACCTTAAAGCTCATCCAGTTCCAACCATTTATCATAAGCAGGGACACCTTCCACTAGACCAGGTTGCTCAAAGCCCCATCCAGCCTGGCTTTGAACAATGCCAAGGATGGGGCAGCCACAGCTTCTCCGGGCAACCTGTGCCAGGACCTCACCACCCTCACAGGGAAGAACTCCTGCCTAAGATCTCATCTAAATCTGCACTTTGTCAGTTTGAAGCCATTCCTTGCTGTTCTTTCTCTATAGGCCCTTATCCAAAGCCCCTCTCCAGCTTTCTTTTCGACCCCTTTAGGCACTGGAAACTGCCCTAAGGTCTCCCTGGAGACCTCTCTCCCTCTTCTCCAGGCTGAACAAGCCCAGCTCTCTCAGCCTGTCTCCATAGCAGAGGTACTCCATCTTTGTGGCCTCCTCTGAACTCAGTCTAACAGGTCCATGTATATATATGTATGAGATATATATCTAAGATACAGGAAGGGACTCCAAGTTTTCCCATACCCTGCATCACAAGCAATTCTCTGGAAACACTGCTAAGGAGATGCCCACCCTCTACCTCCTCCAGCACTGTAAGAAATTAATTCAAGAGAAGAGAAGGCTGCATGAAGACCTCATAGCAGCCTTCCAGTATCTGAAGGGGGCCTATAGGTATGCTGGGGATGGACTATTCATTAGGGACTGTAGTGATAGGACAAGGGGTAACGGGTTAAAACTTAAACAGGGGAAGTTTAGATTGGATATAAGGAGGAAATTCTTTACTGAGAGGGTGGTGAGGCACTGGAAGGGGCTGTCCAGGGAGGTTGCGAATGCTCCATCCCTGGCAGTGTTTAAGGCCAGGTTGGAGGAAGCCTTGGGTGAGATGGTTTAGTGTGAGGTGTCCCTGCCCATGGCAGGGGGGTTGGAACTTGATGATCTTAAGGTCCTTTCCAACCCTAGCTATTCTATGATTCTATGATTCTAACATCTGGGGCAGGAATTTTGAGTTAATTTTGAGCTCTCTCACTGAATTCTCCTCTAGTTTTATGCATACCCCTTTGCCCCAGCCTCTCACTTTTTCACACGAACATAAGATTTGCTGAGTACTGTGATAATACATTTATGAAGAGCTCAAGGAATTCTGCACAGAAGCCCTTAGAAAAAGTGCCTCCTGAGGTTTCAGAATTGCCTTCATGTACTGTACAACTGCATTTTCGATTAGCTCTTTCTAGACATGTGTGTTTGCAGCATACCAAGATAAACCACTGCTTTCTGCCTGTCCTTCTGATGAATATATTCCATTGCACCAATAGCTTTTTAGTGCCTGGAAGCACCTAGTCTGACTTGCATGGAAATATACCTGTGATTCCGGAGTTGTGACTGGAGTTTTTACACTATTTGGAAAAAACCCAACCGATTTGACTTAAAACACAATAGAAATTATGTGAAAAATCCACCAGGCTACCAGATGAAGTGGTAAATTCCCCGCACTATTTACATTTACTCTTTATTCTTCATTTCAGTTTCTATGCAAATACTTCTAGATTTTCTTCTGCATCATTGATAGATATTGACTAGCATTGAGACAAGAACAGAGATGCTATATAATACACCTATGCACTCTATTATGCAATTAAGTACCTTTGAGATAGTATGCTTTTAACTTTGAATCATGCAGTATTCTAAATCCAAGGGAAGAAAACCACCTTGGAAGAACTAAGAGCCCTAGTTAATATCGGAAGTGCTATATTCCACAGAGACCCGAGTGACTCAGTCTTTCATGAGGCAAGGATATAATTTTCTGGATGAAGTAGTTCAACAAATCTTTCTCACCCTCCACCTTCAAAAATGAATTTTAAATTATTTGTCCTTAAGAAACAATTCTGGCCTGGGTTATAACTAATAGTTAAGAAAGAGAAGCAGCATTAGATGAAAAAGCTGGAACACACTAGAAACTCCCCATTATTTTAAGCTGTACTCACAACAAACTGGTCCATGTCCCTTTCAAGCCCCATGTTTGGTAGATCAGGCATCATATGCGCCACCACTTTGAACCCGGCATCCTTGGCTAAGTGAAAAGACTCACACACGGCCTTCACGGTGTGACCTCTGGGGAGAGAGAAAAGAGATTCAAGATCCCACAGAAAATGACATATTGTGTTATGTTCAGTTGAGATTATTCTCTAGGAAGTGGGAAGGACTGAGTTTGGAACATGGGTGCTAACAAAGTAAGCTACACTTTGGGCTAAAAGAGCTCTAGTTTGCTATTTTTGTAGCAGGTGAACCACATCAAGGCTAAAGCTATTCAAATCACACTGAGAAACTTTGGAAAGCTGCTGAAATTCAATTTGTAAAGCAATGACACAAGCTGATGTCACAGCACAAGCTAGGACACACTGCACTGAAGACTGTGCATAATCCAAATCATAGAATGGGTTGGGCTGGGTTGGAAAGGACCTTAAAGATCATCTGGTTTCAATCCTCCTGCCATCGACAGGGACAGCTTCCACTACACCAGATTGCTCAAAGCCCCATCCAACCTGGCCAAAATGAAGCAGAACCAGAAACAGAAGCAACAGAAGAGGAAAAGGATGGGGACTAAGTAAAACCAGCTAGCTAGAGAATCATCTGGCAACATGCTTGCCAGAGTCTCAAATCCTACTTTTAGAGAAACACACACTCTTCTCAACTTCTTAAAACTGCCAAATCGCTGAAACACAGACTGGATTAGGACTGAAGGATTTCACATTGTTCTCCACTGACATCAAATCAAGCTAACTCAGGTCTAGAGCAAGAAGCAGGAGCTTGGAGAGTCTGGGAGCCCAAATGATGGCAGGAACAAAGGCTGAACCTCACAGAACTTGTTAGCCTCAAGCAAGTTCCTCTATCCTTCCACCCCCCTGGCAATCACTTTCACTACAAATAGCGATGAGTAGGTCCTCCCACATATGGCCAGTCTTCCTTCCATAACGTCCTCAGTTTTGCTCTTCCCCAGCTGGGAGGGCTCATCCACTACAGGCTGACATTTCTGGTGTCCTGGGTTCAGCAGTAGCAGTCATGTTTGTTTTTTTTTTCCTTTGTGCTAGCTGGTGCAGTGCTGTGTTTTGACTTCCAGCCTGAGAACAGTGCTGGTGAAGTTGATGTTTTCAGCTGTTGCTAAGTGATGTTTACCCTGACCAAGGACTTTGTGAGGCTCATGCTCTGCCAGGGAGGAGGGGAAGCCGGGAGGAAGCAGAGATGGGGTGCCTGACCCAGGCTAGCCAGGGAGGTATTCCATACCACAGCATGTCATGGCCGGGGTGGGGGGTGACTGGGAGTTACCCGGAAGGACATGGGGCTTCCGGGTGGAACTTGTCTTCTTGGCCGGTGGTATCGTATTCTCTTCCCTTGTTATTTTCCCTTATCATTGTTGTAGTTGATAGTTGCGGTGGTGATTTGTGTACATTGGTTGCTGGACTGTTCTTGTCTCAACCCGTGGGAGTTGCACTCTTTCGATCCTCCTCCCCGTTCCTCCGGGAGTGGGGGAGAACCCCGGTGTGGGGGGGGGGGACACGGACCTCGATTGTTGTCAGCTCGGCACCACTCACTGGGAGTGAGTGAACAAGTTACCTGACTGGGTTTAAACCACGACACTGGACATTTCTATCCCCTCAGCATCTGCTACCTTCTCTCTCCTATCCCCAATTTCTTCCCATCACACTTTCATACCAGTTCACCCCATCTTTTGGAATTCCTTGCCAACAGATTAGCTCAGCAGGTGACTCTTCTTCTCCTTCATAGCTCGTTGGATGAAAAATTAATGCCATCTGAGCATCTGCACAAAGGTACACCTGAGACCTGATGTGAACCCAACCAAACAGCAAGTTCCCTTGTTTTAAGGACCTCTGCCTTCCTCTCTATTGGCAGATTCTGCCTCCATTAAATCCCTACATACAGTTTTATGACTACAGTTTTGGGTTTTTTCCTCAGAAGTATTACGGTGTTTTTCTGACACTGTTCAAGGACAGTATTACTCAAGACCTTGAGTAGCCTGAGGGGAGTAAATGGAGACTTGCTTCATAAATAAAAATTATTTTCTTATTAGAAGTGGAATTTGAGCTGCATCAATAACTTGATTATTTGATGCCTAAATCTGTTCTTGAATATTTTACTGCCTCACAGCCACCAAAAGCACTCAAAAACCTCACTAATGACTTATGGAACATAATAGAAAGTAATTTCCAAACAGTTAGCCTAATTGGTTGTAATCTGACATTTTGCTACAAGCAAAATATTAAAAGTTTAAAGTCAAAACACATCCCCCACAAAACAGAAGCAAAATGAGGTCGTTTCAAGAGAAAGAGAAACCTGAATCACCCTTCTCTGAAAGTATATTCTAATTTTTTGTTCTAAAAAGTTGGAGGGAGGTGTTTAAGTGAGCAGCCTGCACTCTCCCTGCTCTGAGAGAGCCTGCAGCAAAGCCGTTTAGGAATTCTACAAGCAGCTTTGAAAAGTGCCTTTAAAATTGTAATTCTATACAGCATTACTTCTGAGTGAAGTCAAGCAAGTAATACATAGAATCAACCAGGAAGGAAAAAACCTTTATGATCATCAAATCAAATTACCCCAGGACTGCTAAGACCACCACTAACCCAAGTCACTAAGGACCTCATCTATACAGTTTGTGCACACTTCCAGGGACGGTGATTCCACCACTTCCCTGGGAAGCCTGTTCCAATGCCTGATCACCCTTACAGTGAAGAATTTTTCTCTAGTATCCAGTCTTCATTCTTCTTCTTCATCATCAGGAAAGCTGTACAAGTCAAAACTGACATACAGCTGTGAATGATTTATGGTACCAGCTCTGATGTAACACACAACACTGAAGGAAAACTGAAGATGACTGAAGTGATAGCTAAGCGAGGTTTTAAAGTTCCACAGCAGGATAGAACAGCTTTAAAAGATTTAAGGTGGAAAGAAGATTTTAAGAGCTGAAATTAATTGTTAAATTTACAATCTGTGTCAGAATTAACAGTAAATATACATCTAGCCTAAGAGTGAGATCTAGCTACATTCTTTTCCTTTGGAAAGCTCTGACATCTAGAGGAGGAAAGCACCACCTATAAATATTAGCTTTTAACTCTTGGACTATTCAACAAATGGCTATTCCTGTATACTAAGACCTAGAGCCTGACCATTTCACAGTAGTGACATCCTGCACTTCCATGGGCATTAACAAAAATGTGCTTCACTTACTGAACCGTAATCTCTCTGTCATTATGTATGATTACGGTTATTAAACATCCATGGGATGTGACTGGAATATGGAGTAGAGAACGAAGGCAAGTTGAATGAGTGTCAGGAGTGAAAAAAAACTAAGAGAAAAATCACTTCTTTCAAAAATCTCAACAGAACTATCAGACTTGCAATAAAAAAAAAAAAAGAAAGAGATTGGTTTACTTGCCTGTAAGGGGTGGGATGAACAATATATTGCATGCTTTCCTACACAGGACAACTGTTCTTTTGGCCACAGGTCCCACATGACAGGGAATAAATCACAGGCCTCTTGCAAATAAATTTTACAATCCCTAGAGATACTGTATGCCTAGAATGACTGTGGTTAATCTATCAACAGGAGTTATTTCTGGCTACATCTCACCCTCTGTACTTGCCAGTGTCATCTCCCCTCTCCAATACTCAGCAGAAAATTGTATGTGGTTCAGAGGACATGCTACTTGCTGGTTCAGCACCTCCAATAGATTATACTGTGTGCATCTTCTCAAGCCCATAGATTATGAATTATGTAGGACAAGAACTATGTGCTCTCTCTGCATTTACTTATGAAGCAATAAAAAAAAAGGTGTACAATACAGGAAAAGAATACAGGTTTAAAATAAAACATCACAAATAACTCCATTTCTCAAGCCATGGTCTACACAATATCACAAAGAAATACATGAAGCCATTGTGGTTTACTACTTTTTCTTAACAGACATGGCCACACAAACAAGGAAATGAGCCAAGTGTTTCAACATTCAGTGTTAAATGCGTGTTGAAGCAAACAGATCAAGACACGCTACTCAAGAGTATTCTAGAAAGCACGCAGTGAGCAGCCACGCTCAGCTTTGCACTGAAGCCTTCTCCTCACCTGTTGGTGTCCCTGGCCACATCCTCGTACACGCTCTGCACTCCAATCTCCAGCCGTGTGCAGCCGTAGGATAACATGTCACTTAAATGCCGCTTCAGGCAGTAATCTGGCCTGGTCTCTATCGTTATCCCAATACATTTTGTCAGGCTTCGTTCTGAATACCTGCAAAAAAACACATCCTCTGTTGAAACGGTGAAGTTGGTAAAGGTAACCTCAAATGTGTTTCCAGCATCTTCCAGGTGAGAGTTTCCATGTCACTATCAGAATTAAAATCCAGGTTAAAACCCTCAAATATCCCAGCAACCAGGGTGCCCTCAAACTCACAGCAGTGCACGGATGAAACAATACACAAATATGTGCTAGTAAAATCTGGGGTTTGCTTTGTATGAAAAACAACTGGGCTTGCAGGACTTTTTTAAACTGTCTTTGTTAGGAAGACAATCCCAGAACAGACTGAGCCTTTAGTACTCACTGTCTGGAAACAAAGCCTGGGTAGCAGGGAAAGTCAGAGCAGGCAATGAGAACCGTGCTCAGTTTTGGGGACAAACCAAAGGCAGTCTGAGCATTTGCTCCCATTCAGACACCAACGATAATATAGGACCTCATGTTAGGGAGAGGCTGGAATGCTCAGTAGATTTTCATTTCATTCCCATAATGTACAGATAAACTGCAGGGATTGGGATCCAGCTACATTCTCACAAGAAAATGTACGTGTCCATGAAAAAATCCACAAACCACTTCCCTTTGTGAGCAAGCAGCATGCCCACAACTTCATTGAAGTCTAATGCTGAAACAAAATTCATTGTTACCCTTTTTCCCCCTCCTCTCCCATTCATCACAGGATGTCAAACAAAGACTAATTGTTCCAGCTAGTAGAAAAATCCACTACTGATGACAAATGGTACGTTACTGACCTACGAGAGAGTAAAACAAAAGAAAAAAGGAATCCAAAGCAGCCTCGCACCAAAGTTCAGGAAAGAAACCATCAATCAACATAATTTCCAACACCACCAGCAAGGACAATATTCCTTTCCGTACAGGAATCATTTCACTTGACTGTCTTTCCTGAAGAATATGGTGGTTGTATAACGGTGAACTGCAGCACCCAGAAATGATTTACAGCTGGAAGAAGGAAAGTTCTTCTTTTGAAACCATTTGAGACTGCAGAGATAATCTGTCTAATTCCCAAACTGGGATGGGGGTAGGATTAACAGCCATTGTTTGAGATTAATATCAGTCTCTTTCAATCGTCCCAAATGATGAAGAACTCTGTACTAAATGTTGCTGAAAAGAGGACACCTTGAGTAAGAGATATTATGCTGATACCTGAAAGAATATCATACACCAAAATCACAAGGATGACTAACTTCAGCTCTTTATTAAGTGTTCTATAAGGATTCATCTGATTTCTGGCTCCAGATAGTTGGAAACTTCTGAATCAAAATAAAGCTCCAGAGCCTACCTTAGAGCATGACAGAGGTCCAATCTGACCAAAAAAAACCACCCCAACATCCTCCCTCACACCTGCCCCCAAAATGCAAAAAATCCCCAGTGGGCTCACACTGAATAGCAAAAATATTAACTCCCTTCAAACTGTTAAAGCCTAAGATATATAAAGATCAAGATATCTGGGGGATAGATTGCAATGGGTGTCAAAATAAGTATCTTCAAAAAACCCCAACCCAACAAAACCCACATACAACATTTCAGAGTTTGTGGCTCACTAATCAGGCAGCAAACAGAACAATCGTTTATCGCATCAGGGAAAACACTGCCAACATGTGATTCATTAACATCAGACTGAAAAACACCCACTTTTAAAGACGTGACCAGCAAGAACTGAAGAGAGAAAATTTAGCTAAAGGAGGAGTGGGGGAAGGAGGAAGTCACCAGATAACTCGCCCATCATGCTATAGGGTACATGCTCATTCTGAGCACCTGCAATCAGGCTAGAAATACTGAGGAGACAAAAATCATAGAATCATAGAATAGTTAGGGTTGGAAAGGACCTTAAGATCATCTAGTTCCAATAATTACATCCCCAAATTCATGGCCAAGATGTAAAAGGCTGAATATAATGAATAACAATAGACCCTAAACTGTAACATCTACTACAGGAATCGACAGATTTCAGTACAGTGTAATGGCTGGTAAAACTGTCTTATCCAACTGTATGCCATAAAGAGAAGAGTGGTTAAAGCAACTGCAAAAGCAAGACCAAGATGAACTCCAAACAAATAAAGTAAAACAAGTAAGGAAGCTGGAGAGTGGTTTTTTACAAGGGCCTGTAAGGACAGGGCAAGGGGGAATGGCTTTAACCTGACAGAGGAGAGATCTAGATGAGCTCTTAGGAAGAAGTTCTTCCCTGTGAGGTTGGTGAGGCCCTGGCACAGGTTGCCCAGAGAAGCTGTGGCTGCCCCATCCCTGGCAGTGTTCAAGGACAGGTTGGACAGGGCTTGGAGCAATCTGGTCTAGGGATTGGAACTAGGTAAGGTTTAAGATCCCTTCCAACCCAAACCATTCTGTGATTCTATGATCCTATAAATTTAATCCAATTCACTGAGTTAAAGCAGGGAGAACTAGTGGAGATATACAGGAGCAGTGAAATATTTTGCTATTTTATTTTTGTAAGGGGGCATGAAGTATTTGAGACCTCTACACTGGCAGGGCAGTAGTACTGTTGTCTTCTGGTCCAACATAATCCTCTGCCATGGGCACTACCCATCACCCCAAATCACTACCTAGGAAGAGGAGATCATCCAAATAAAGACCAAGGCAAAGAAACAGCCTTTCCCTGTGTGCTTCATCAGCTGTCTACCTCATCCAGCAGGAGACCCACATTTTATCTCCATCTGCTGACAACGTATCTATGGAAGTTCTTGTTGCCCTATAATCCCTGGGAATTTCAAATCCAGCTAAATTAAACTTTCCTGATATGCCCTCTGCTTGCCTGTATTCCTTTTGGGTATCCCAAACCTCCTTTCACCTTCCGCACGCAGTCCTTTTTCCATGTTTGAGCTCCATCAGGATGTCCCCATTACGCTGTTAAGCAACGCTGGTGACCTGTTGCACTTGCTTGGTGTCCTGCACATCAGGATGCATTGTCTCTGCAATTTGAAGAGGTTGTCCTGGAAGAGCAGCTAAGCTCACCTGAGTTTACTCACCCTTCAAGGCATCCTCCCATGGGATCCTGGAAAGGTTGTTGTCCTGAATTCTGAGGTCTTTAATCTGCTACTTGCATCCCTTGGGATCTTGAGCTCTGACGTCTCAGAGTCATTGCAGCTAAGACCACACCTCTCCCCAGCTTGCTCTTTGAGAGCAGCAGATCCAGGAAAGCGCCTCTCCTAGGCACTGGATGAACCAACTATTTCCAAATACCACCATAATGCACTCCAGAAATCTCCAAAAATTAGTTGTGTTCCACCATGTTGCCATTCTAGCAGGCATCAGGGTGTCAGACTAGGCTCAAGGAGTTTTGCATATTGTTCACTATGTGCATATATTCTAATGCTTCATCACTTTCATACTTTTTCTTAGCACCATTTTCAAGCATATTTTTGTTGCCTTTGATACCAAAAACAGCCAAAGAACTTTGCAGACACACCAGTACTATATCCAGATGGAATATGATTTGCCTATTCCTACCCAATTTTCCACTATTAATATAGTCAAGGGTAATTTGGCTGCTGAATCATACAGTTAGCTCATGATAATGCAACTTAACTCACAAATGTTTTCTAGATATTTCGCTGCTTCTCAGAATAGAATCCTGCACCATTCCAAGAAAAACAGCTTTACATTTTCCCATAATAAAATACACAGCTTGCTCATATAGAAATTACTATGGAATACAGGTTTATCCCTTATATGCCCACCTCCAATATTGGTGTCTCCTGCCAACCCTTCAAAATCACTACACAAGCATTAAACAGTAGTCCCAGAGGCAAAACCCAACAGAACCCTATTAGAAGCCATTCAGGTCAATGACAATATTTTTCTGCTATGTCTGGTTTGGAAACCAATGAAATGGGTGACACATTGTTCTACTCTCTTTTTTAATGTCAAAATGCCTCACTATACCAGGTCAATTTTCTTGCAGAAGTTTATGCATATTTACACTTAATTTCTCAAAAAAAAAACCAAAACAACCCAACACAAAAACAACCAACCCTGCAAGCTCACTAACAGGATACAATGATGTATCATGATAATGGACAGGATGGATTTGCCTTCACTTAATCTTCAAAAACAACAGATATCTAGGCACATATCCTGCAACAATGGCATGCTAACCAAGGCAGATATGAAAAGGGAACACTTTCCATCCAATTAGGCAGAAAGCCTGAAAAGCAGATACCTAGAGCTCTGAAGAAAGTGATTTTAGGATACTCACACACAAGAGTGTCTGACACAAGATGACCTTGGTTATGACCAAGACAAGCAGAACTATTACCAAAAAAAGCAAAAGAGAGCAAGCTCTGAGGAATTAGATGAACCCAAGCTGGAAACTACACCCATGATGGCCTTATATATTCAAGTTCACCCGATTTCCAAGTTCATTTTTGCATTAATATTTATGAAGTGCATTTCTTATGGAACCAGAAAGAGAAAATGGATTTTATCTTCTCAGGCAGCAACAAGTATCTTACAGTGTTTCTCCTCCTTCCCTGGAACAGTCTTACTCGTTAGTTGCAATACAACAGTGCTGAGGAACCCCATATAATCAAAAGAACAATCAGAAATCAAGCCAAGTGTACAGCACAAGATGGCAGTGGGGCAATTTTAATAACAGACTGACCACAGAGAAGAATTATGCAAATAAAGTTGTGGTTAAGCCATACAAATGAAAGAAATTAGGTACAGAGAAACCTTAAGATTTGCTCAGATATTACTATTCTAAGTCAGTTCTTTTCAGCATGATTACAAATTGCCTGAAATAGGAAGTCAGAAAGGAGAGTCTATTAATTTTAATAATTACAGAATTTTTGACTGAATTTTCAGAGAAAGCTGGTACATTAAATAGACCTTCTTAGAATCTACCTCTTATTTAAGTTCTGGGGGTTTAGATCAAAAAACCACCTACCTCTCCACCAGACACAGCAGTTTAACGTAGAGTTTCAAATGCTTTCTCACTTAAAGAAAAAACAGACGCCACAGTTCTG